TGACCACCTCTGCCTCTGCAGAGTGGGTCCAAAGACTGGTTCAATCAGAAGGTCTGAGAGTGCGCACGTGCGCAGAGGAGGGTGTGTATTCAGGGGCACCCATGCAGCTACCTTCCTGGTGCTGGAGCGATGGTGGCTCCCGGTGGGGGAAGGTGTGGCTATTCTTCCCACAGTGGATCAGGGCCCAGGCAGCCAAAAATATTTTATTTACTGACTACAATATGCCAAAATTCTCATGGCTAATGGAACTCTGCATGCTGAAATATTATCCAGTTTGACAAATGTCTGCCTAAATATTTTAAGGCAATGAGTGCATTTCATTGTAAAGAATTCATCTGTGAACATGACATTTAGATATAAAACCAGAAAACAAGTATAGGAGAAACACAACCATTGTGATCATCACACTTACCCTCATCTAAGTTAAAGGCCAAGAGGTGGAGACACAGCTTGAATACTCCTTAGCCTCTCTGAGAAACTCCAAGTGGAAAATATGTTAGCAAATAATCAGTCCTATGGTAGTTTTAGTCCACCACAGTCATCATTCTGTCCAGGGATTCAAATGACGGCCACTGTTTTCCACCACTGGAAACCAGATTCCAAGTCAGTAACTGCTCAGCAAGCTGGTAATACTACAAATCAAAAATATAGTTTAGATCTAGAAATTTTAAGGTAAAGCACAGTTGTTATTAGTAATTACTCTTAGATAATAGAGATTATATTTCCATACCTACTCAGGCATACTACCATGAGTACACTCACTTCTGCCATGGTGTTAATGCCAGTTATTGGTTATTAACAGCACAAAGTTTATGCTTCTAAAGAAATATAACAATCCCACAAAATGGTTACACTTAACATTTTCTGGTAAAAACAAATGAACTAAATTTAAGTACTGGATTTTTTTTGGTATTTCATTTTCAAATTACTGATACAAATTTCCAGAGAAATAATTATACATTTTGCTCAACATCAAATAATTTCTGCAAAAAGTTGCTAAGAAAGATGCATTTTTTACTCAATTTCCAAAAATAAAGAATGGCTTTCTAACCGAAAACATTTCCAACAGAGAGGATTGCTAGCTCTCTAAAATAAACATTAAAAAGAAAGTACAAAAAATGATCCCTTGGATTTTGAACAGTCCACTTAGTTACATAAAATATTTTCTGTCTCAGTACTTTCTCGAAGTCAAAAGATAGTTCTACAAACAGTACAGACTCTTCATTTTAGTCTGTTTCCATAGCAACAGTGCTGGACTCCTTGGCTACCATAAGTTGCACCAGCTGACTGTAAAATTTCTCATTCTTCTTTATGTCTTGAGCTTGGTCTGTTCTTTACACCTAACAAATGAAATCATTTGTTATTTTAATACACAAATCACCATCCAGATGCATATATCTGAGGACCACATGTGCCTTCCTAGGGTCCCTGAGGTGCAGGTTCTCCACACAGTAAATGGCTTCCTCCCAGGTCTCCACTGCCTCTCATGCCCCTGCCACCTCTGATGCCTGATGAAAAAAAGTTATTTGGATTCATCTCCACTGGTTTCTGTGCTAAAAAACTTCAGGTCCCTTTTGTGCTCCTTAAACCATTAACCTATGTCTTTTTCTACAGCTTCTCAACTCACTCTGTGGAGGTTGGCTTCTGGAGCCTTTGGAGTAATATGCCTTTCCATGATGATTATATTGGGAATTTTGTTGAAAACTAGTAAGTGTTTCTTGGCAAGTCTATGTAATGATAAAAATATTGTTCAAATCATTTAATAATAGAAGTTTCATTCTACTAATGTGTGATAATTTGTTATTTTCTAAAGCCATACCTATTAATGAAATCTCTAATCATATTTTATAGCATTGACTAAACAAAGTATACAACCAACATTTTCTCCAGGACCCATCAAAGTAGCCCAGGAAGGTAGGTTTCATTGACTGGCCAACATTATGTCTGATAACAGATTAAGCAGACAATGTCTTGATTTTCACACATAAGAATATTGCACTTAGTAATATAAGTGTTCTGACTTAAGGATACACATGTTCCCATTCTCTATGTAAAAACAACTAAGTTACTATGGACATGTGTGTGTTAACTTTCTATTACTGCAACAAATACTGAGATAACCAACTTATTCTGGGACAAGGTTTATTTTGGCTCAAGTTTTAGAACTTTCTACTGTGATGGCTTGGCCCCGTTCCCTCTGCACCCATGGTCAGGCAACAAATCTTGGCTGAAGCATGTGGCAAAGGGCACCTGCTCACCTCGTGGCTGGAAAGCAAAAGAGAGAAAGAGGCAAAGGCCAGTGTCTCACCACCCCTTTAATCACACACCACTGATGTCTTAAATCTTGTCTAGAACTCATATCCTATGGGTGTCATCATCTCTTCATGCACCAAGATGGACCGAGCCTTTCATACATGAGACTTTAGAAGACATTTCACACTCAAGCTATTGCAGTCACCATTTATACATTTGATGAACTGAGAAAAAAACTAGCCTGAAAGATTGCTTTTTTGTCAATTTGAGCACTCATGATTCTGTAACACACAAAAACTATGATAAATATTACAGCTAATTCTTATTCTGTTTAACTTCTACTTTCTTTTTTTAATTTTTTGTCTACTTCTATGATTCAAAATGCAGTACAGAGATTTCTGTAACTATAAATCATATTTATTCACTGAAAGCTAGATCAAAGCTCAACTTTTAATCTTTTCCAAGCAGCTTGAAGTTGTCCCACCATCTTCTGTGATTGTACAGAACTTCATTTACATCTTCAGTGCCATTCATCCTGCAAAGATTTGAGTATCTGCTATGTGTTATAATTTGATTACTGTGGCTAAGAAATTTGAAGATTCTGTCACCAATAAACCACATGATCAGACTTGAAGCTAATTGCTTTATGTACCTTCACTGTTAAAAAATAAAATATTCTAATATATCAGAATTATTTCAATGTATCATTTTATGATTCAGGAAAAATGTGCTAAAGTATTTTTCTCCTAAAAATCTCTCTTTTATCTACTTAACTTCTATTTCTACTAAAGTGGCCAGTTTTGGATAACTTCCTCAAAACATGTTTTTCTAACTGTCCCCCATCCTATGCTACATGCTGTTTAGCCATACTGAATTTACCTTATAGACTTAACTAATTATTATTAAATGTATTTAAAGGCCTGGATATTATATACTGCAATTCTGAATGTATCTCCACAATGTCGTCTCTATGAGGAAAATGTCACATTGGATTTGTTCTCATTAATATTCCCTGAACTGTGGTCTACTAGTAGAGTCTCAATAAATAGCAAATAGTGTATTGATGATTAAATGGTATTGAAAACAACTATAAATCTTCGGTGTGATCAGTCACATTTTGATTTTTCCTCTTAGTATCTGACTGCTGTTCTTGCCAAGAAAAGTGGATCGGCTATCAGTGCAACTGTTACTTCATTTCTGATGAAAGGAAAACTTGGGAGGAAAGTAGCCAGCTTTGTGCTTCTCAGAACTCCAGCCTTCTCCAGCTCCAAAACAGTGATGAACTGGCACGTACTAAATGCTTATTTCCTATATTTTATTTGACCTCTAAAAAATTGATGTCTAAATAAGGTGATTACTTTGAATCAGTTTTTCAGTCAGAAATGAATGCGATCCATGAATTTCAGATTCTTTAAGACAATCATTATGGAAACGACATCAAATTCTTCAAATATTTACCCCTTAGGCATACAAATCTATTAGACACCAGGTAAAATATAAGAAACTTTGCAGGGACAATTCAAAGAAGCGGCAATATGTCATTACTTTTACTAATTTTCATCAAAGAAACGAGTGCAATTTTTAGTTCTTCTAATAGAATTTATAATTTGTTTGGTAACTATGTAGCTTTTGTGATCTTTCTGGTATAGAACTAGCAACAGATCATGTGATCACAAACATTACCCAATTCCTATGAAATTCTCCAGGGGCTTGAAGCGTTTCTGCTGAGAAGGCCATGCCCATGAAGTTCATTGTTCCCAATATTGTTCGTTGGGGGACTGATTCGGCCATTTCTCCCCCATGAGGAAGCATTTACACGAAAGTCAGTCAGCTGCCTTTATGATGTATTTTATTCTTTCAAAAAGTGAGATTTTATAGTATTTTTTCCCCCATAAAAGAATAGGCCCAATCAATGAAAAACCTAAGGCACAGCACTATAGCTTTTAAACTAGAAATGCGATCAGTCTCTGTGATGGACAGGCTGAATCATATCCTGAACACTAACTCCATTTAAAACCCTTTATTCCTAGAATATATTTAAATTTGTTTGTCTCTGCCTCCAAGCAGGTTTTCATGAACACCAATTCTAAGTTTTACTGGACTGGTCTCTCTTCTGCTAAAGAGCGTGCTGCCTGGTTGTGGGAAAATGGCTCAGCTCCCTCCCAGAATCTGTAAGTTGCTGGCCTTTTACACTTTTTCTCTTTTAGAATTTTTTTTTTCTCCTCATAAAAGTCACGCTCATGGGTTTCATAGCTTAAAAATTTCTGTGTCGGGCATAAGAATACATAAAGAACAGACACACCAGAGTAAGAATCATGGCTCCACCTAGCATATCCAAGTAAAAGGAAAGTTAGTGTACTTATGACCATATAAGAAGTCGGACTTAGGTTTTATTTTCACTTTTGTACCAACATTTAAAAGCATATATATGCTCACATACACAAGGCAATTCAGAGAAAGTACTATAGCTATCATTTTCTTTTTCTTTTTCTTCTTTGGATTTTTGAGAAAGGGTCTCACTATGTAGTTGAGACTGACCTGGAACTCACTATGTACCCAGGATGGTCTCAAACACAGCGATCCTCCTGCCTCAGCCTCCCGAGTGCTGGGATTATGGGCTTGCACCACCACGCCCGGCTTGGCAATCATTTTCTTTCAATTGTTTGGTACCAGGGATCAAACTCCGGGCCTTGCACTTGCCAGGCAGGCAGCAGTGTCTCTGAGCTGACCTAAATCCCCAGCCCCCATTTTCTTTATTCTGCTGGAGCTCAGTGTTCTGAGCATATCCCATGTTTCAAATATCCTCTGCTTTTTATATGTATGTTAGTAACATGTGAATCTCATTCTCTTTCATAAAGATGAGATTTGCAGAAGTATACAGTGGCAAATTTCTGCCCTGGCTTTCATTCATAGATTAGATCACACACTTCAGAAATAAAATGGACAATAGCAACAAAATGCAACACAAAACAAGCACAAAATCTCTGCCATGGACATTAACGATTTTTGAGAGGATAAGAATTTAGTTTTGTGTGGACTCTAAAAATCACGAAAATTCTGGTTATTGAAAGAAAAGACCCAGTTGTTTCACTCAAATATTTTAAAAAGTTCTGTCATTTAATAAAATAAGCATCCCCGAACTTGTCATTTCTTTTTTTCCATCTGTTAATATTTTCTTCTTCATTACAGACTCCCATTGCTTCCAGTTCCGAGTCCAGGGTACTGCATAGCATATAGTCCAAGAAAAGTGGCTTCTTCTGAACCCTGTGGAATCAAGATCCGTTACATCTGTAAGCAGTGGCTCATTTAAATGTTTCTTTGAGCAGAGTGGTGGACAATTCAGAACCAGGATTACTGAAAGTAGCACCTTTCCTGCTTATATTATTACTGTTATCTACTTCTGGTGTCCGAAAAACCGTCTTGTCATACAACTTTTATATATTTGAAACCATGCATTTTTAAAGTACTGGAATTTGTATACCCATACCTGAAATTAGAAAGTGTAAAGGTAAATAACTCTTTGTATTTTAAAAACTGCATATGTATGTCTAATATTAAATACGATTTTATGTGCATATTCTGGTTACCTGTCTTTGAAGAAATTTAAATAAAATTTAATTCACGCAAAATGATATATAGCCACATTGTTTCACTCTTTTTTATGAATATTCACTGGAAAGGTTTAGCTTCATTTCACTTTTCTGGAGGTAAACAATAATTTAAAGTTCTTAATTCTTTCTGGATATTCTTTTAAAGTATTTTGTTTGTTTGTTTGGTTTTTTGGTTTTTTGGTACCAGGGATTGAACTTGGGTCCTTGCTCTTGCAAGGCAGGCAAGGGAACCACTGAGCTAAATCCCCAGTCCTTTCTGGAAATTCTTGAATGAAGATGACTTAGGAAAAATGCAGTTAAGATACATGGGAAAGTTTCATTGAAGAATATCAAGTCTCTGAAGTATTTAAAGTGGACTAAGAGTTCTTGTATGCTGCAGTTTATGAAGATGTGAAATGTTTTGGTGGTGTTGTTTTCCCGATTGCAAAATTATACATTTCTAATTAAAAACTTTTTTTTTGAGACAGGGTTTCATTATGTAGTTGAGACTGACCTGGAACTCACTATGTAGCCCAGGCTGGTCTTGAACTCACAGTGATCCTCCTGCCTCAGCCTCCTGAGTGCTAGAAGTACAGTCCTGTGCCACCACACCTGGCTCTAATTAAAATTTTATAAATGCCCTACAAAACTGATTTGGGTGCTAGTTATCCCATCTCCCCCTTCTCCTTTCGTTAGGCAATTTCTTCAGTTTTTGTTGTGCTTCTTAGCACAGTTTTCTCTCTAATGATGAAGCTGACCTATTTGTATCATTTTCATATGGTACGAATCTCAACTGTTTTTAGTTAGTTGAATAATTTCTTTACTTTATTTATTTGAGACAGGGTCTTCCTATGTAAACCAAGCTGGTCTGAAACTATGTAGCCCATGCTGGCCTTGAACTTGTGATCCTTCTGCTGTAGTCTCCAGAGGGCTGGGATTATAGGCACGTACAACCACGCCAAGCTTTATTTATTTTTAAATGAAAAAATAATATCATGTATGTTTTTAATATGTATGACATTATGTTTTGAAGTACACATTGTGGAATATTTCATCTAGAATATTAAAAAAAAGCATTCCCTGAAACAGTTATCATTTTGGTGGTAAGAGTTACACATCTGTTCTCTGTTAGAGTACAATATGCAATCACTAACTCTGTAAATAGATCCCTTAGAACTTATTTATTGATCTAACTGCAATCAACTGTTTTCACTTACCTGAATCCAAATATAGGTGTACAGTGGGACTTTTTTTCACATCGCCCAATCAGGTGTCCAGAGCCTGATTTTATTTTCAGAGCATTCACTACAGTTGTGGGAACAGTGAAGAAACATAAAATATTGGTGTGGATATTATCTAATCTCAGAGAGCATGCAATGCCAAAAAAATTGTCTCTTTGATATACTGATTTCAGAAATCCAGTAGTAGAATGGTTAGATCATATTGTAGTTCCATTTCTGTTTTTCATTTCATTTTTATTAGTACATATTAATTATGCAGAATAGTGGGTTTGTTTTGACATAGTCCTACTTACATGCAACATTCTTTGGTCCTCTCTACTCCTATCCCCTTCCCCCTTTCCCCAGGGCCTTACTCCCTTCTTGTCTACTAGTCCCCCCTCTACTCTCCTACGGTCTGTGAAATTCATTTTTAGAGTCCACATATGAGAGAAATTGTTATAGTTGGTTTTGGAATCTGGCTTGTTTCACTTAACAGGATGATCTCCAGTTTCATCTATTGTCCTGAAAATGACACGATTTCATTCTCCTGTATGGTCGAGTCTGTTTCTCAGTTTGAAATGTGTGTGCTGTACAGAATTAGAATAACATGGAATAAAATGTATTCTACCAAGAAAATAAAGTGATGAGAGATTTTTAGAGAAGTATTTCATTAATTACACAATATGGAAATATAACTTCAAACAAATACTACAATTTTCTTGTCATTTACAGTTTGGACAAATGGAGACTAACCATCCAGGATTAGTCCAATGAAATGAGAGTTCTGTCCCCTAATAGTATGAGATGTTTACAGGCAATTTCAATCACCAAAGTAAAACATGCCCTTATTATCTTCCAAACATATTCTTACGGGAAACTGATTGTTATTGTTATCATCACAGTGAACTTTAAGCAGACAAGTCCCGGGGTGCCAGCGATGAGCTCCTCTGGAGGGGACAGGAAATATGTCAGGAGAGAAGGGGTAGCAGTGAGAAAGGAGGATGGGGACTGTTGCTGTTCAGGTGACAAGCGAACTCGGATGCACCGGGAAACGTAAACCTGCACCCAAACCCCCCACTGCAATCTGCCCACTGCACTTTCAGTAACATGAGGCCCCCTGAATTCTTCCTCAGACACTAGCAATTCACCAGTGTGGACATGGAATTACTCCTCTCGCTTTAAATTGGAATAATGCAGTTCCATTCAGAGCATCTAGCTTCACAAATGAAATAGGCGAGCTTGTTTCCTGCTATTTTACCCACACCCCTGAGGCTCAACTGCGGGTCTCTGAACAGCCAAGCAGAGGGAGGGGGAAAGCTCTACCTCTGCTGTGGCAGCGGTGCGAGTCCCTTCCCAGGGACTCTGCAGAGACGCTGCTGAGATTTAGTTCCACGTGGGCGATCTGCTGCTCAGGTAAGGAAATGGGAATTTTCGCTCCCTTACGTTTCCCTTGTTGCTTCTTCGGGTCCTTGGCCAGATGCAGTCCCGAACGGCCCCTCTCTTCCGTTCTGCAGCTGAGGGAGGTCGGGACGGTTCCTGAGCATTGTGCCGCAGGCGCTAAGAAGTGGTCACTGCGGGCCTGCTTCAGACTGACTGTGCTTTCGAAGAAAGGAAGACTTTCCCTAGAACAATAAACACGTGTCTCATGTTAAAAATACGGACTATTTGACTTTTGATGAAGTTATCACCGAACGTCAAAAACAATAAATTAAGATGTTCATGGAGAAGAATATTGTACAGGTAATGTCAGTTTTCCCAAGAATATTTTAATACCGTGACGAATTTTAATACTTGTATGAAAAGTTAGGCTGTATTAAAAATTATTTATCAACTTTTATAATAAATTGAAATGTAATCATAGCTTTAAAATTGAGTGCTCTAAACAAAGAATAAGAGAAGTGACATATATGAATTGTTGCACTCTTTTACCTTTTTTCTATGGTTCTCAAAACTGGTGAGGATAACTTTAGTTTGTGATCAGTTGTAATAATTCAGATTATGAAATTTAATAACTCAGACAATAGGTCTTGGAATCAGTGATAACTAGAATTAACTCTGGCTTCAAAACTGACATGTGAATTTTAAACATTCGTAAGCATCTGACAAACTAGGTGTGTTTCTAAAATGCAAATATGAATACATAAAATATAATACATATAAAACGCAACACAGAAAAAGGCTTTTAAAACTCTAAAGAAACATTAGCTATTTAAGTACTATTGCTTTGCAATTGTATATCATGAGTTAGACCATAAAAAATAAGTTGTTATACGGGGATCTCTTATCAGTGTGGTATATAATTGTTTTTGCAATATTTTTACCAACTGTTAGAATGCTATGATTCTTTTAGAGTTGTCTAGAATTTTATGAAATTTACCCAAACTTGATTTCCTTTCAATGTAACAACTAATGTTGTGTAATATAAGTATCTTAGATATTGTACTTGGCCTTCACTATTCAATAAATTTTCTTTTAAGACTCTATAATGGTTGGCCTAAATTTAAATTAGTATATTATCATTTAAAGACCCACAATGTATAGATTACACCAACCAAAATTAATAGTTCATAGGGCAGGGGATTTAACTCAGTGGTTCTGCTGCCTGTCGCACAAGGTCCCAAGTTCTATCCCTGGTACCACAAATAACAAAAAATAAAAAATAAATAGTTCATTATCATGAACTTCATGTTCAGTTATATTGATTATACATTCAAATATGTATGGATGACCTTATTTTCCACAGTCAATAATTAGAATACATTAAGAAATCTTCCAATGTATTTTTTGTTTTAGGACTTTTTCCTGAATCACTTTACTAAAGGCATCACGCTACACTTTATACTTCAGTTACACCACGGTTTTTATTCACAATCTCTCATGAACTGAGTCAAACTAGTACAGAGACAGAACAGCACTTACCTTCTGTGGTCAGAGAATCGTGCACCCTTTAGTGGCAAGGCTTGGGTACTCATAGAGTAGGTCTGCCGTAGCTGAACAAAATGAGGTGAGACTTAATGACAACACCCAGTACAAGCCAGGTGTGGTGCACTCTCAACACACAAGGCTGAAGGATACGGACTGCAGTTGAGGCCTCAGAGCAAAGCCCTGTCTCAGAAAAGAAAAGCGCAGGACAAAAGCAAAGAAAAAACAACAACAAAAGTCCAGGCAGTTCAAAGCCTGCCGTGTGCGGCTCAGAGTGAACTGAAAGTAGATTTCTCCTTAACCTGACACTCTCTGACAGGAAACTCCCACACTTGTGCTGTTTTGAAGTCAGTTCATCTTGTCGCACACCCCCAGAATATAGAAGGCGCTGGGCATTTGTGAAAGGGCAACACGGACTCGAAGTGTTTAGTTTGCTCAGGTTCAAGAGTTTCTGAAAATTGTTTACGTGTTCTGTACCGCAAGGGGCCAGAGAAGCCTCACCGTCGTTGGCATTAATTTGCTCACATCTCAGTCTCAACAACTGTCAAGCTGAGAGAGTCTCAGATTTGAAGCTTTCCTTTTAGGTGAGGTAGCCACTCAGTATTAGAATTTCATGTATGTGTCACATCCGCTGCATGTATAGCCCATGCTATCTTCCTTATTGCATCATCCACATTATGAGGAAAAAATGAAACTGACAGCATTATCAACAGATATAGAATGATGTAATGATTACTAAGTTTTCAGCTCACTTTATTTCTGGTCCAAAAGCCACCATTGCCAAACTCATATTTGCAAATTTTTAAATGAGTTCTTAAAACTCTGACATTTCAGTTTCTTTTAAAAATAAACTATTTAACTTGAAGATTTCCCCCAGGAAATTTGGATATGTGAAAAACGACTGATTATTAGGCTAGGTCAGCATGCTATAAATTAAACTATTAAATAACATATTATTCATTCACTCATCCTTCATCACAACTAATTCTGTATTTTAATAAGAATATTTAGTTGTAAATAACAAAAATCCAATTCCAAAGATGTAGGGAGAGAAAAGTAAAATTTAAAAGCGTCGCCTAGGAGGTGACATCAGTGAGTTGGGGAAATCTGAGGTCCTATTCTCATATCCTGTCACAGCAACATTGATTTTTGATCCTATCCTTTCATTAAAGGCCTTGTGGAAGCTTTGAGATTCAGGTAGGAATTTGTAGAATTCCCTTGCAGTCCACAATCAAGGAGTGATGCTTGGGGAAGATAGGCTGATGTTCAGGTAGCAGATTTGTTGAAAGCGGTTTTGTCTCCAGGCCCAGAAATGGTCTCATCTCCAATCTCATGAGTCTTTGGTCCTGCACTGAAAAAACCTGCCTCAGTGTGTGGAAGGACTCATACCCAGTAGCACCTCAGGAGAGGGGCCCATTGATCTCAGTATCAGCTACAGCTCCTGAAATAGCCCTTTAGCTTGGGCCCAGACCCTTTAGGCTTCAGTCCAAGACAAGTTGTACATCCAGAGGACCCTCTTGGGGATAGGCCCATCTGCATGCTCCAGACAGGCTTGCTGACATCTGTCCTATAGCAGATTCTGACTTGTGCCCACCACAGCTCAGTGGAAGTGTGGTTGTCAATTTAAAATGTTCATTGTGGAGAGAGTTTGGGTTCCTTGAGATGTAACCGGGTCATGCGTCCCCCCATTAATGCAGAAAGTAATGTAATTCCTATGTGGCTGAATTTGTTACCATTTGAACAAGGTTTTATAAAATGGTTCAGCTTTCTTGGTCCTCTCTTTTCTCTCCATGTGACCCTTTTCTTCTGTGTATGTGTGCAGGAGGGGCATGGGGTCCTCAACAGAAGGTGACCAGGTTCGGGCACCTTCTCATCCTCCAGAATCATAAGCTGATATAAACCACTGATTTTTGTTCATACCTATTAAGCAGACTTAGGTATTTTGTTACAGTAGCAGAAAACAGATTTAGTCACCCTGCACCTATTTTTCTCATAGATTTTTGTCCCCCCACCCCCATACCTTTCAACTCTGCTTCTCCTCCTTACCCATTAAAGGAAAAAACAAACAAACAAACTTTCCTTCTTACCTTTTTCTGTCCAGGCTACTGAGATTAGGTGGTGCCTAATCAGTGAAATGATTTAGTAGTCACCCATCCTTTCTCCAAGCACCCTTAATCCTAGCATGTGCCATGAATCAGTCACACACTATAGATATAGCCACCTCTGAAAAAGCCCACCTGTGGCTGGATGAGGCTTAGGGAGAGACACCTAGACACAAACCATAACACTCTTTGAGCCCCTTTTCCAGAATTCTGTAGTTTTCGATATATTTCCTTCATTAGGTTGATTTCTAGATATTTCATTTTTTTGGATGCTATTGTGAAAGGTGTTATTTTCCTAATTTCTCTCAGTGAGTTTGTTATTTGCATACAGGAATGTTATTGATTTTTGAGTGCTGACTTTGTATCCAGCTAAGCTACTGAATTTGCTTATTAAATCTAGAATTTTTTTGGTGAAGTTTTGCTGTCTTCTATGCAGAGTATTGTGTCATCCACAAATAATGATAATTTAACTACTTCCTTTCCTACCCTTATTTCTTTTACTTTTTTCTTTTGTCTATTTGATGAGAAGTACATTTAATCCAAAAACATTTACAGATTTAAAGGATGGAAAATAATAATCATGCAAGGAAATTCAAGAAAAAGCATGAGTAGCTATCCTATTTTCAGACTTAATGGACTTCAAGCCAAAACTGATCAGAAAAGGCAAACAAAAGTTACTATATATTGGGTAAGGGAAGAGTTCAGCAGAAGGAAATAACAAATATAAGCCTATTTGCATCAAATACCAGTGTGCTCAAACATAAACACTACTAGGCATATAAGATCAGATAAATATAAACACAATTATACTAGATATCCTCTACCAGCCATAGTCTGCCAAAAAAAAAAGAGGTAGACTAACTACACAAAGATCAACAACAAAATTACCAGAGATGAACCAAATCCTTGGACAAATAGACAATAAATATCTACAGAGTGTTCCACCGCATAATAATAGAATATACATTCTTCTCATCAGCACAAGGAACTTTCTCTGAAATTGAACACATGTTGCCTTTGAATCCTACGTAAGTAAATACGAAAGAATCAAAATTATCACATGCATATTATCAGATCACAGTGCAATGAAACTCGAAATCAAAGGCAAAAGCAACCACAAAAAATATTCAAGCGCATGCAAAATTTTAAAAGACCCTATTAAATAATCAGTGTGTCACAGGAAAAATAAAGGAAGAAATTAGACAATTTGTAGGAATAAACAACAATGTCACCACAACATACCAAAAATTATTGGACACAATAAAAGTGAATAAGAGCAAAGTTTATAACTCTGAATACCCACATCATAAAAAGCAGTGTGTATCCAAATAAACAGCCTAATGATGCCCCTCACAAGTCTATAAAAACAAGAACAATCCAACTCCAAAGCTAATATAAGGAAGAAAATCATAAACAGCAGAGGAGAAATTAATGAAATTAAGACTAAAATAATTAATGAATTAAGGAGCTAGGGTGTTTTTGTTTTTTTAGAATAGAAAATTTATTGAGAAAAAGCTTTTGTTTGAGACAGAAGGGGGACTGGAAAGTGGGTTGCCCACTCACCCAACTTCTCAAAAGTGTTTTATGGGACAAAGTGATGAAGTGAGGTAGGTTCAAAGTGGGACAAAACTGTACTTAACTAGTAAGATTACAAGTACCATTGCTTAGGTAATATTGATCCAATGAGAAGTCACAGGTGGACAAAACTATAAACAACCAATAAGATTATGAAAGTATAGTTGCTTAGGTAATATTAATTAAATGGGGATCCAATGGGGAAACAAGTCCCGTAGCAAAAGTACAAGGAATAAGAAATGATTTTTGGTAAGAATTGGGTCAGGAATCTTTCTTGGAAGATCTTTGTCCTCCACCCAGGTGAGTGATACATATTTAGAATATCAATCATTGCTATTTATCCTACATGGGTGTGGTAGTTTCCTCTCCTTTTACAATTCTGGCCTTCAGTGAATGTGTCTTGATTGTCCTTCCTGTTGGCTCCTTGAGAGTGGCCCTGTCTAACTGCCTACAAGATATTTAATTAACTTACCTCTCTGCAATATTCCCCCCTCTGAAGAAGTACCCCTAACTGCTGTGAGGGGGCAAAGGGCAGAGACCCTTCTGGCTTCTTTCAGCTGAAGAGGGTCAGCAGTCAGTTACTCTACAGAGGGTCTATCTAAAGGCCCTCGATAGATGCCAGGCATTGTCATCTTGGACAGGCTTATAGCTTGGAGTCTGGAGGAGACACAGCCAAAGAAACAGTTAAGAATACATTGGCCAGCCAGGGATTTGGCTCAGTGGTTCTGCTGCCTGCCTCGCAAATGCAAGGTCCTGAGTTCAATCCCTGGTGCCAAATAAATAAGTAAAACAAAACTATATGTATTTTAAGGAGGGTGTGGTGGCACATGCCTGTAATCCCAGCATTTGGGAGGCTGACGCAGGAAGATCGCTGTGAATTTGAGACCAGCCTGGGCTACATAGTGAGTTCCAGTTCAGTCTCAACTACATAGTGAAACCCTGACTCAAAAAAACAAAAGAAAACATTGGCCAAATTATAAATTCAGCAGGATTGCAATGAATATAACCAACAAGTGTTTCCACCAGGGGGAACTAGTAATAGCCTCCCACAAAGAGGGTAAGGAGAAGGTCCATGGGACTTTAGAGTCCAAAATGGAAGTCATTGTGTAGTTTGAGCTGGGATTTTTTTTGTTTGGTTTTGTTGTTTTTTCAGTACTTGGGATTGTCAGGTAAAAAAGGCCGAAAACCAAGACCAGACCAGAACCACTACAAATCTTTATTGCAGAGACAATCTGCCAGGCCATCTCCCATCAAAGGAGAGGGAGCAATATGGCTGGGACAGGGAGTGTCTTTTATAGGGTCTGGGCACGTTTTACAGAAGCTGAGGTGGGGTTGAGTGAGGTAGTGGCTAGGGATTGGAAGAACATGTGATGCTACTAGGAGGGGCTTGTGACATCACTGGTGGCTTGTGTCATCACTAGTCGCCAGGAGGTAGCGAGTAAGGTCACTCACCTGACGGGAAAAGAGGCATGATGAGAAAAAGGCTGTCCTTTAGGGGGAGAAGCCATATTTTTTAGGTGAGAAGCAGAGAGTTATGGGAAGGGAAAGGCTATTCTTTTTATGTAGCAGCCCTACAGGAATCGAACTCAGGACCTTGCACTTGCTAAAGAGCTGGTTTTTTTGCAAAAATAAACAAAATAGAAAAAAAAACTTTAGGCAATATTACCAATAAAAGCAGAGAAAAGACACAAATCAATACAATTGGAAATGCAAAAGGTTTAATAAAAATGAACACTGCCAAGAACTTACCAGTAATGGAGACTTTATTGATAACAACCCAAAACTGGAAATATATGAAATGTTCAAAGGCAAATCATTTTTTAAAATGGCATTATACCTATACAGTGGAATAGCATCTTGTATCAAAAGAATGAATTATTGATCCAAGAAAAAGCATGGGTTAATTTCAGAAACATGATCACCAAAAAAGCCAGATACAGAAGAGTGCATGACACGTGAAAATCAGCAATAGGCAAAACTAGTATATAGTGAAAGGAAGCCTGTCACTGCTTGCATACAGCCTGATGTGCGATGAGGGATGAGAAGGAATGCTGAGGTGTCTTGGAGGTGTCCTAGGTAGCATTTTGATGTGGATAGGTGGTGTCTGAATTTGTTAAACCCTCTACTTCTCATGTCTTCCAGTGGATACACTTCCTTATAGGCACAGTATAACGCAGCAAAGTTTAGTTTTAAAATGGTAGAGTCAAGAAAAACCAAGGATCGAAGAACTGTTCCAGACGAAATAATGCAAAAGGACACCGGAACTAAACAGGCTGTATGTTTCCTCTCATGGCGGAAAAGATCTACTGGTGATAATGTTGGGATGATAGAACGTGGATTATAGATTAAATCATAGCACTGTATTAACACCAAATTTTCTAATTTTGATCATTGTAGCAAAATAGGCATAACTGTTAACTATGGATAAGGAAATGTGGGAGTTCCTTGCATACACTTGCAATTTTTCGGTAATTTGAAATCACATTTTATAGAAATATAAAAATGTTTGAAAATCAAGGTAAGGTTCCATGTGAAAAAACACACAATTATATCCCAGATGTTTGCTCGTTTGTCTTTGGTTTTGGTTCTACAGATTTAAAACAGGAGCTTTGTACTAAGCTACATCACCTGTCCTTTCTCATTCTTTGAGGCAGGCGCACTAAACTGCCCAGCATGGGCTCAAACTTGATTACAGGTGCTCACCACCATGCCTACCTATTGCAGTTCTTAACTGTGCTACTGAAACCACAAGTTATCAAAAGGATTACTTTATGGATAAGGAAAAGATGCAGACTTTTAATCAGGGTTCTTTAATTGGTCCTGGGTGTGGTTTGGGAATAGAAAGAGAGTAATTCCTCCAGATGATTAAAGCAAAGGACAACTGATTCCCAAAGACAACTCTCCTCTCTCCTCCAAAGAAAACAATGGCTTCTGGCCTCTAAATCATGTTCCAAAAGAACATTTTCTTCTCTATCAGGCTCAGCTCTCTCTGTTTCTGTAATGAACTAAAAAATGCAGAAGTCAAAAATATTTATTTGTAAGTAATAAAAAATTGTTACAGAAAACAAAGCAAAATGACAACATCCCATGTTTACCTTTTCTCCTCACTGCACAGTGACGCAGGGAAAGTATCATTCATTCTCTTTTCACAGATACAATTGTAGGTCTTACTGCAAGCAATATTTGATATTCCTGTTGCACTTAAGCATGCACATTTTCCTTTCCTAAAAGACGGAAGCATGACAGCAACATTAGTGTAGAACAGAAAACATGAGGGCGACTGTATAATTCTGAAGCTTGCAGGCACACAAATAGTGATTTTTAAAAAATACTCTACTGCTTAATTATACAGAGTATGAAAATATAACCAAAAATTACTAAAGATTTTCTTTTGTTTTTAGCCCATTAATAGAAGCATGGCCTCTTTTTTTTTTTTTTTTTTTTTTTTTTTTTTTGTATCAGGGATCAAACTTGGGTCCTTGCACTTGCAAGGCAGGCAGCGGAACCACTGAGCTAAATCCCCAGCCCAAAGCATGGCCTCTTGATCACACACCTACAATACCCATTTTATTATAAACTGGCAATTTTTTATCAGCAGACAAAAATAATTAACAATATTGTCATACAACTATGATACGCCAAGCCTACTTTCCTAGTTTTTTATAAAAATAAGAGATTAAAAAGAAGAAACAAATGTTTGCCACATAAATAACCAGATATCATATGCCTATATTTTAAATAGAAAAGGGAGAATTAGATTACAGCACCAGATGAAAGGGGTTGCTTGATGTTTTTGATTGTTTTGCTTCTATTCCTGCCCCCTAGGCAACAGTTAGGAAAAGGGATATATCTGCAGCACAATTCACAAAGGAACTGTCTTGGACCTTGGGTTTAAGCAGAAGAGAAGAATTCAAAATGAAAGCATCTTTTACGTAATTTGCTATAGGAAGAAACACTAGTAACCCACAAAACTTGTTGTGTATAGGTTCAGTAAGTAAAGCCAATGTGTGATAAACATAGACAAAAAGAAAGAAATGACCAGGTAGAGGCTAACTGTACACAAAAACACATGAAGCATAGAGTTGATATTAATAACTGCACGACACTTCTCTTCCTTTTTAAACTATGCTTCCTCAAGCACCGTCTACTCCTCCTTTCTGTCCTAATGACTTCCGCTTTCCCAATGACCTCCGCTGGAAGCTGGGATTCGCTGTGAGAGGCGAGAGAGGGCAAATTCCTCACAATCACAATCCTGCACTGACTTAGACCTGAAAGCACTCAGGAAACTCACATTCCGGGAGACGCGCCGCTCTCCGTCCACTTCCACCCATTTTCCCCGGTATCAAATGACAGCCAGATCCAGTAAGAACTTCCACCAAGCTGGAGTCGAAGGAAGTCCTGTAAAGGAAACCAAGTGCACCGTGACGCAAAACGCTCATCTGCTGGGTGACAGGAAGGAGACAGGCAGAGGAGCCGCTCCTCCCACAGCCAGAGCTGCTGTCCTCGTTCTGCTCCCTCCGGCCCTGTATTTCCATTTTCCCAAGGCATTTCCACCTTTACATTATTTATTCATGCTACAAATGGATATCAGTTTGATAAGTATTTAAAAATAGAGAAAAATGAAAAACCTAAGTGTCGTGTAATTGGAGATTTGTTAAGTAATTTTGGACAACTCCATGACACTATTCAAATTTATGCTCCAGAAGAATACTGAAGGATGTGGAAGAAATCACCACATAACCTTAGGTGAAAGAAATAATCTTCAAAAAAATGTATTAAAACATAAAGTATATATGAAGAGGATGTACATGAAAGGTTCGGATTCCTACGAGAAAGCTCTTCTGCAGTCTTGTAATTGGAAAGGGCAAAGGGGAGAGGAGACGACCAGAAGCATTCGCTGCCTTTGAAATGTGATATATCACGGTGACACAGCACACGACATCTGATTAAATGACTGAATATGTTTTTAAATGTAGGTTTGAACTGATATTTTACTGTATCAGGCAGAAAACTATGGAATGACTTGATATTAGGAATTCATTTATGTTTTGATTTTAAATATTTATTAAATTTGCATATAAAGTTTGGGGTTTTCCTAAATGATATAGGTTTCTGACTAATCTTTCATCTCTCTATAAAAACACATGATGTGTATGTGGATAACTTTCCTTGGTAGTCAATTAGAAAGACAGTTTCAATATCACTGCCAGTATATTTTCTATTTTATAATTATCTTCAAAGATATACATCTTTAAGAACCAGGGATTAAACTCAGTGGTTCCACCACCTGCCTTGCAAAAGCAAGGTCCCAAGTTCGAAGCCTGGTTTAAAAAACAAAAAGAAAAATATATATATATACATCTTTATATATCAGAATATTGATCAAGTAAATGTTATCTATATGGTCAATGCAATGAAAATCACCATAATACTAATTGGCTAATACATTTATAGTCATCATTATCATCTCTGTTTTTCACATAGACCAGAGGCATTAACTAATTTACCTAAGGGCGTCCACCCACTATGTGGTAAAGGTGCCTGGGCTCCTAATGGTAACACCTAGATTATGTTTGGTCGCCCCTCTATGGGACAAATAACTGTCAGATCCATTTCACCAAAGGGCTCAGTTTCATCCTGGGAAAGCACACTGCTCTGGGAGGCGCAGTCACAGACGCCTTGGGAAGGGCAGTGATAGAAAAGACCCACACTACTTCCTATGTAACTGTACCTGCCACAGCAGGACACTCTTGAGCATTTAGTGAGTAGCAGGACCAACGCCTCTTAGCAGGTAGGTGACCCTTGGGAGGCTCCTAACTTACTATTTTGGCCCACGTAACCGACATGACACAAAGCACAGCTGAAGGTCCTCATTATCTTAGACCCAAGGGTGAGGGGCAAAGTCCAAGAGAGTAAAAGTGAACATAAGAGTCTGTATTACCAGTTCATCTTTATCTTCTATCGTCACAAAGGATAATCTGTAATTCTGACAAGTTTGCTTACAGCTGTTCCAATCTTTACTGTCCATGATAAAGTAATAACATTTTACTCCATAACAGGTCAAGTGGCCTTCACAAATTTTACCTGCAACATATCAAAATCATTAAACTTCTTGTTATTCAGTATTCTGAAAATCAGAGAAATGTATTTATCAGCATTCTACAACTAAATAAAAGTCTCATAGCTCAGTAATGATGATACAAAGTTCATCAAGATTCTGGAGTGTCAACGTATATCTCCACTCCCATGTTCAGTGTAGCGATATTTGTAATAGGCAAGGCATGGAAACAACCTAAATATATATGAGGGGTTAAAGGATACATACAATTTTTATACATACAAGGAATATTATTCAGCCTTTAAAAAGACAAAGTGTGCCATTTGAGACAACATGTGTACCCTTGGAGGATATTGTGCTCAGTGAAATACAGCAATCGTTAGAAAGAAAGAACCTCTTTAGGAGTCCACACCTACAATGTATCTAAATTAGTGAACTGTTGGGAGCCAATCAGACTCCTGAATACCTGAGGCAGGATAACAAGGAAGAGAGAAACAATATTCAATATACAAGAGGAGAGGGGGAGTAGTCCATCTCTACTGGACAGGCTTCCAATAACTCCACAGTGGAACCACTTCTATGAGTCAGCGTGGAGCATGGGGGAGGGGTGGTGTGCTCTTTGAGGAACAGAGACTGCAGTAAGGTTAGGATAGCCAGATAGGGACCAACTTTAGCATCTCAAAGGGAGCAAGTCAAAGTCCTTGCCCACACCAGGTTGCCTGCATGCTGTATTGTCGCCAGTAGTTGTTATCTTGTCTGAGAAGTGCTGTGATCAGGGCTTTCCAACACAGCCACGACGTCGAGGGTATTTTGCACAGCTTCTCTGTTTCTGAGACAAGTTAAGGCCAACCTTGGGACTGTGGGGCCTGTAACCTGGCCCCTCAACAATCTATACATTATCATGGCTGGTCCCCAACAGTGAAACTCATAGAAGCAGAGCCTGAAATGGTGATTGGCCCGTGTAGGTAAGAGGATAAAAAGAGGAAATGTTGCTCTGTGTGTAAATCCTCTGTAGTGCAAGATGAATAAATTCCATTGATCTGCTCTAGATAACAGTGCCTGCAGTTTACAACACTGTATTCTCTGCTAAAAACTTTAAGAGGGTTTATTCAGGTTAAATGTTCTCACTTCAAGAGAAATAAAAGACATGAAAAGACATTTGAAGGTGACAGATGTGTCTCTTACCCTAACTGTAGTGATGAATTCATGGGCACATGTATTTGTCTAAATTTATCAAACAGAATACATTAAATATGTGCAGGGTTTTTGTAGCAATAATAATTTGATAGTTGTTCTACAATTATTAAATTATTTAAAAAATAATCTGGAATATTCTCTAAGTAGAAGAAAATGTTTGGAATTTTAAAAATTCTATTTATTTTATAATATACCAAATCTTGAAATATTATTTATTCTTTATTAGCAGAAACAATGAATTTCTACTACCATACCAAAGTGAGACTAAATAGCATGGCAAACACTTTCTTAAATATTCTTTAGTATTTAATAAATTCTTAAATATTAAATATTATTAAAATAATATTCTTAAATATTAAATATTCAATACATTCTTAAATATTTAATAAATTTTTATTAATAAGATCAATAAAAGATCAAAATAACCAGGCCATTACTAAAAAAAATGTTTAATGAATGAAATTTAACATTTTATCTCTCAGGTGTTTTTACTGGCATCTACTGGTGACCCCTACAATAGGTTCCAGTCTCCTGCCCAGTGTATGATGCAGGGTTGAAGAAAGACTTAAAGACAGAATTAAAGACACAGAGAAATGGGGAGCCAGGATGGCCAGTGCTGAGCAACCAGTAAAGGCCCTGGTCATTCCAAGCCACTGATTTTTGTTGGTAATCAAATTGGGCTAAAGGGGAACTATATGTGAGGACTATCAGTTGTGCAGTTGCTGTGGATACTAATGCAGGCAGGGCTTGTAAAGGAAAAGACAAAGCATCCTCAAATTAGGAACAGAATAGAAAAAATATAGGGCTGTAATGAGAATATTGTCCTTCTAGTTAAGGAAGTTTTAGTGATGGGAATGGAATTTGGGTGCGAGTTACTCTGACCTCGGCTACTCTGTTATTTTATATCAAGCCCCACAGCTTCACAGACCATTTCTCTGGCCTCTTCTGTGGCCATTAGCAGGAAGAGTATGCTAACCTACAAGCTATCATAGTGCTTATGAGGCGCTTCTATGAGTCATGTAAGCTTCTGTCTCTCACTTCTTAAAATGAGCCAACTGAGGGGTTAACTGCACTGCTTGCAGCCTGCTTTGGGCACAATCAGTAAGGTGCTGTGCCACTGATATCATCACATACAGTTACACAAACACCAACACTATAGTTAATCTTGCAGATGTACTGCAGATCCAACATCTAATCAAAGCAGAATGAAAGCACAAACAGTATTCAAATGAAAACCGTTGAGCCCATGTTAAAGTAAATATGTTTTGAATGGTGATGTCCATGTTCTGTGTCCGCAACAAACAGAATTCTCTAATTTTCCCACAAGAACAGAATGATCTACATTTACAGGGGAGATGGTATCTGATTTTATCTTCTGGAACTGGAGTAATAGCACAACAGGGGCTCTACCACTCCAAATATGACTTCTAGGACACCCACCCTAGAAGCAAACCATACATCTAGCTCATATCTATAAGGTAAAAATGAAAAGTTCTCCTCTAAATCCAGGGATCAATAGTATAATAGTCTGTTTATTGGACTTCAGGGCTTCTGCACAAGAAAAAAATAATGCAACCTTTTATTAAGAATTTCTACCATACATACCTGAATTTTGCAAAAGTTTTGAAAAGATCTTATTTTTCTTATGACATCTGCTTTTTGAAAGTGATTCCAGCTCCACTTTTTGCCAGTGTGTTTTACTTTTAAGAACGTCATATTCTAAAGTCTTATTTGTCAAAAGTTCCTTTAAAGTACTAGCATTTTGTGTGATGTTGAACTCTTGTCTAAGATTTGCTAGAATTTCTTGCTGTTGTTGCTTTTCTTGAATACACTGAAAAACTAAAATTAAGAGCACAGACATGGTACAAAAAGTACATTAAATAAATATTGAAATTAAAAGAAAAAGCCTCACAAAAACAATTAATTTACATCATTACTTTAATCAGGAATTGGACATTTAGGAAGTAACATCTCCTTTATCTGACCATAGGAATAGAAATATCTCATTTCTTTCTCATTGCTAGAAATTTAAGTGTAAATTTTTTTTAAAGAATAAGACTTTTGAGTAAAATTAGGATAGTACACTTTACCTTTCAGGTTAGTTTATTTATAATAGTTAGTGCATCATTTACAAATAGATACCAAAGTAAAAATCAGTCAGTTAACACTTCGAAACAGATCTTCTGAGTATGAAAGTCAGGACTACTAACCATGGGCATGGTATCAGTATTAGTGGAGTGGGTGAAATATCCACGGAGAAAAGAGAGCAATAACCAGATGGGTGATTTATCTATCGTAGACTATCAGTGATTTTTCTCTAAAATGTGTAAGAATTCAAATAAAAGATTAATTTTAATCTCAAAATCATGTAAAAATCTACGTGCACATTCATTTTTCTTTATAAATCATTGCCTCATATATACGTAGAAAAAAAATCAAGAGGAAACCATCATTTCTCAAACAACAGTTTCTCAAACAGCAATGACCTGACGAGAATAACTCTACCTTCTGTACCAGAAGGAAAGTGACATGTGTGAGGTAGCGTGAGACTGCTCAGCACAGCCTCAGTCAATGGAAAAGATAATAAAAGAAAAGTGAGATTGACACATCCAGGGAAAAAGATCTCCAGCAGGGTCCAGAGGCACCAGGGACAGAACACGAGCACAACCAGGAAATGATGGTGGAGCACGGTTCCCATCTACACAGTCAGTGTCTAACGCTGTTATTCAGATGGAAAAGAAGGACTTCATTCAGTTTTTGTCACGAGCTCTAGAGCTGCCATCCACAGAAGTACACGGAATTCCCACAAATGGCCCCCAAATCACAGGTTGGTGAAAAGAGACAGAAAAATGCCTACAGCGTGATTCCATTCACAAAAAAGTTCAACAACAGGTGAACCTGATTTACAATAGCAAACAAGGACCACAGTGGAGGGAGGAACAGGGCTGATGTGATCCCACACAGGGCCAGGGCAGCTGGGCTCCGTGAACTGCTATTTTGTGGTATGACTTGAATTCTCTCTGTTCACTCACTTTCTGAACAACCTAAGAATTATGACACGAATTAGGTTTTTTATGTATGGTACAATTGAATAGGAAAGTTTATTTCAGAAAAAAAAAAACCTTTAGGTAGGCATGACTTTTCATCAAAAGCAAGAACTGTAAATAATAAAAGGTACATTAGCAATAGACAAAATATTATAAACAATGAGGTAATATACACTTATAAATAAATAAAACTATATATAATAATATGGATGCATTCTTCAAATATAATACTGATTAGAAAAAAGATTAATCAGCATGAAACACTTAAAACATTAACATTTTCTCCTCATTGTCTGTATTAAGCAGATTAGAATCATATAAATTTAGGGCAGCAAAATGTGCTTCCAAGTTTTTTTATTTTTCCCCCAAACTAACAGAATACCAACTGTTAGAATATGTGAAGCACTCTCTTGGACATTGATCACAAGAATATGTTGAAGAAAGTTTATGGCTTTCTAGCCTGAAGCCACGTGAATTTTTAAATATGAAAATGAATTTACATGTTTGCAGACATCAAACATACAACATGTGACCAAACTACATCAGGACTCATTGCAACAAAAGCCACGCAGTCATTAAACTATCTCACAATATTGCCCCTCTGCAAGTCCTCTTTCTTGAGTGTCCTTAATTGCAGGGGCTGCCTGGATTTCCTGAATTGCTTTAAAATATTAACCTTTCCTGATGACTCTGACTTTGGGAAAGAGCTAGAACTTGCTTGGTGTCATATCCAGTAAGTAACCAGGGTAACATAACATTCTTGTTTAACAGAAATTGTCATAAATATTTTGAATTGATTCTGGACATCAGTGAATCCCACAAAAGGCATGAAGAGGACTTGTAGATCTGTTTCAGAAAGTGGGAAGAATGGTGGAGTTGAATTAATGGTAGCATGTCTTTTTCTGCAACACAAGTTTTATTTAAACGCACTATTTTTTTATGATTGCACCTCAGTATATACAAATCTATGCACTCCCACTGGCTGCACATACAAAGCATCGACGCAATAGAGACCAGTTCAGGAAAGGAGCAGCCTCTGGTCCCTTAATTCATGTGCTCACAATTTAATAAGAACTCACCCTACAAGTGTCTTTAAAATCACTGAGCAAAACCTCTTCTCTAGAACAACACCTTGGCCTCTCATATTATTAGAACTGGCACAAACCTTGTCATGTCAACTGGGTATTCCTTCTATTGTTCACTGGAAAGGAATGTCCTCCTGCTTTGTTTGTGAGCTTCTGAAGCTCATGTTTTTAGTTTGCTTTCACTGAAGGAAATCTAGTACAATTTTGAATGACTTCTGCTAGAAAGAAAATACATTCTGTGCAAACATCAGAACTTTGAGAATCACCATGCATCTTTTCGACTTTTTTATCAAGGAAAAATTGTGGTGCTCCTATATAACTGCAGAAGGAAATTTTAAAGAAATTTTTGTAAAGTTATTTTCTATGTAATTAGATTAACTTTAGTTTCATTTAAATATATCCTATTGAGAGTTAGAACACTGTAGAATGAACTTGATTTTACCAAGAAAAATTAATAAAGTAATAAAAGAGTTTGGGAAGAGTATTTCACTGGATGCTTGCTGTCCAAAGTCACTATCAGTCACAGAATAATACTTTACATTACAACTTTCAAAGATTAGTTTGCATTAGTTAATGAGATTTTTCAGCCTCCTAAAGCATGTATTTGATTATGAAATTAGGATACATATATGCAAATTATAAAAGTACAAGCTAAAACCTTTCAGTTTTACATTTTTGACAATTTCAGACTAACAATTCCACATCTCCTCCATTTAAAATGAGAGCTGATGATTTGAAGTATTTCAAGGCATTTTCTATCATGAATGTAGGACACCCCTTTATAGGCTCAAAAATATACATACACAGAAAAACAGAGACCGTGGCTGCCAGCAAGAAGGCTTTCGAGATGAGGAAGACGGTTCCCAGGAGCGCAGCGAAGGGCGTCTCGGAGGGCGATAGATAACCTGCAAGGACAGATGGGGTGGGATGACAGAGCAGGATGGGGACAGCTGTTCAGAAGGCGGACACACAGGGAGCCCAGGGGACAGGAAATCACACAGGTAATGCTGGGTCCCAGACTGGAATCTTCACCTCTGCCCTTGCTCCCTGACCGTTCAGTCAAGGATGAGAATTGTCCCAAACAACATTACCGTCATATTTTAAAGACTTTTATAGCCCGAGTCAGAGTGCCGGTCCTCACGGAGGAAAAACACGTGAATTTGTACCCCGCTTTTTACCCACAGCTGGGTGCCCCAGCTCCACGTGGATCATTCACCAAGCATCATTACATGTTTTACCTTCCCAGACGTGGTCACTGCCGTGCCCTGGACGCCTCTGTGAAGCACTGTGGCTTTGTAAATTCAACAGCCGGGGGGGTTTCTCCTGCTCATTTGTTGAAACAGAAGTCTTAGTGCTCGAAAATTTCCTTGGCGGCCTCTTTGGGACTTTGACAGGATTCAGTTCTGAGTAGATCATTCTTTGCTCACTCATCTCTGCCGCTGAGAGAGGCCAGGGACGGTGCTATGACTATTGTGCCTCCGAAGTTAACAAATAGTATGTATAAATTTATTAAAAATAAACTACTTTTGGTTAAGTAAAGATCTGCCCAATTATATCTGGTCTTCATCATTCAAAGAAAATTTTAATAGCCTCTAATGTCTGGGCTAAATATAAATTAGTATATTAATATACTAATTAATATAAATTAGTATATTAAATATAAATTAGTCTCTGCATGATGCAGAGACTCACAGCATACTGATTCTAATATCCAAAATTCATAGTACATTTTCAACATGTTTGTGGGTTTCATTTTAAATTCCACTGATTCACAAAATGAACTGTGCATGGGTGCACGTGAGTAGTTCTCAACAGGCAACAATCAGGACATTGAGACAGCAACCAATGTGATTCTTGTTTTAGGATCTTTGCTTGAATTATTTAAGCGAGCACATCAGCGTTCTACTCTGATTCTATTCTGCATGACTTGTACTCAGTTCCATCACACAAAGCCTTTGCCGACCCTCAGTGACTGAGCTGGACCGGCACAGAGACGGGGAGGAAGGGCACCTACCTCCTGTGGGGAGAGTCACACGAAAGCCCTGGTCACTCATGAGCAGGCCTGCCACAGACGAGCGAAACAAGGAGCAACCCAGACGCAGAACTTCAGATCAAGAGCAAACAATATCCACGACCTTCCCAGCCTCCTCTGTGAGGCTCAGAGTGAGACAAGAGCAGAAAAAGAAGACTTCTTATCAACGTGTCACTTAAAGTTAACAGGAAACTCTCACACCTGGGCTATTTTGAAATAATTTTATCTCATCACACGTCACCCAACGACAGGACACTCTGGGCTCTTCTTAAAGGGACAGTGTGGACTTCTATGTTGTCACTTTGCTTGTCCATTTCTAAGTCTCAAAAAATCATTGACACGTTTTTTAAAATATGGGGTGGACAGATGCCTGAACACAGGAGCAGCTAAACTGCTTCTGTTACAGTCACAGGCATTGTATTGCTAAAGGAATCTCACCTTTTCCATCCTGGTTGAGACTAGTCTGTGAAATCTTCACACTATATAACTCTCAAACGTTTTTGGAGCTTAGGATTGAAATTAAGTTTTCGCTGATACTGTGTGCTGCATTGTGCACTCGCTGTCTTTAAACTCTTATTATATCCTCTATGCTTGGATGGAAAAATAAGAAAACTCTAACTACCGTCATCAACATATATGTGATATTTGTTGCTAATTATTTTGATCACTTACTACATTTTTCAGTTTCTTGTAACAGACCCAAAAAGCACCACTGCCAACCTTAAAGATATTCCAGTTGATGCCAAAATAACAAAAATGAAACTTGCATTGATTTTTATAATGTTTAAAAATAAACTCCTTTAATCTGAGAAAGCTGTGCTAAAAAATTACAGTAAACCTCATAAGATGGTGCAGAGTATTAAATCATTTCCATGAAAAAGGGAATGAAGCATAAATAAGTAATGCACCTTTTATTCAACAATAAATCTGAAATTCTTTAAAATAATTTTTTTTCCTCATTGAGTTTATTGGTCCTTTTTAGGTATACAGTACAGTTACATTCATCACTGGGATCTTGTGCCTTTACATGACAGGTCTTGGTTCTCATTTTTTCCCCTTGTCCCTGCCCTCCCTTCACCCCCTCATCTCCTCTCCATTTACAAACATTTTTTTCCTTTCCCTTATTACCTTTCCCCTACCCTTCCCACTTTCCCTACACCTTTAGCCCTTTTCTTCCTATTTCACATTGTGAATTATCATTTTAGAAAGGTTACTGAACCTGGAAAGAATTACAAGAGTGCTTCTTCCTGCATGAAGCAGCTGTTAACACAGAAAAATTCAGAAATATTGCGACTGGAAATTACAGAATCCAGGCACCCAGCACTAATTTGCCCCCCACTGATTTGGGCTCTGGCTTCCCCACCTGGATCAGTCCAGGCCACACCAGCTCCAAGCAGCCACAGGAACCAGATCAGCACTCCTTGGCCCCCTGTGGCGTGGCCCCCTGTGGAGTGGCCGAGCTGCAATGAGTGAAGAGAGACAATCTTGGTCCACATATGAAACATGTCATAGAGTTCCCATACCTAAGTAACAGAAGTTGCTTTTTAATACTCCTGCATATGCTATTCAGAGCATTAAAGGGATGGGGGTTCTCTGGGCTGCAGGTTGGCCACCCTTGCCTAGGAGTCTGACCCAATATAGGCGTCAGGCCTGCCTCTGCACTGAGCTGACTGCCTCGGCCCAGCTCCAGCTCACATGTGCATGCAGACTCCAGCCCCAGCAGGGCACAATGGCCCTAAGCTGCAGCACAGACTCTGCACTCCAGACCACACCAGTGTCCATCCAGGCCACTTGGTCCCAGGCTTCAGGCTGGCAGCAAAGGCCAAAGGTCAGCCAAGCTCAGCCGTGCTGGAGCCAAGCACTGGCCTGGGTGTGTGCGCTCGGGCTCCAGGACTGTGTGGGACCACACTAAACCCTGCAGCCCCAGACTCCAGGAGGAGTCAGCACTGGAGCAGCCCCAGGTTCCAGGCCGGCATACAAAGCCCCAGGGTGGACTGTGGGACTGAGTTTTCCAGAGGTGACCACCTGCTTAAGTTCTCTGCAGCTTTCCTGGTTCTCTGGGGCAAGAGCCCAGAGGATTAGCTGTGACTTTACACTGCCCACTGTGTAATAAGGCAGCATAGTAGCACGTGATGATTAGGACTCCTATGGTATCTTCTCTTTCCGCCCTCACTTTGTCCTCCCCTCCCTATCTTTCAGTTCCCCTCCTAAATAAAACTCCATCATTTTCGTTTTCTTCTTAAATGTCCAGGGAACAGTGAAGTTTGTGTTTGTGTTCCTTTTGTAAGCTGCGTCTGGCATTTTCCACTACAGTGCTCTGCATGTTTCCACTTTGAATTTGAACCCCTTTACACAAAGGGGTCAAAAGAAATGCAAGTTTTATTTGAAATGTGATACTTTCTGTACCTGAATGCATTACATTTTATTGCGCTGTTTGTTATTTCACCTAAGTACTCTTTGATTGTCTCCACATATGACCTAGAATTCTCAGTTAATTTTAAATATGACAGATACCTAAGGCCTAGATTGAGGTTCTTTTCTTAGATGAACCACATTCTTCCTTCCCTGTGGTGGCTTGGAGTGTTTCCAACTCAAGATCTGTAACGTAGTTACATACTATACTATACTGTGTTATGCTATATACTATAGTTTTATGCTATAACCCAATCTGCCAAGCTCTTGCTCAAGTACAGTTGAAGTCCTCATCTTTCGCTTTTCCTGCAGCAGTTCAACCTGGACAATGGAGCTGTTAAGTTAAAAACTTTCATGTGGTGTTTGCTTCAAAGTCGGAACAACTTTCTGATTTCGAGGTATATCTATTTTTGGTCTTTGATAATCTCTTTTCCTTTTTAATCAACATCTCACATAATACTACAAAGATATTCAATTTAAACTATCTACCTGGAACTCGGTTCAAGATAAAAAGCGAGGTTGGCATCACTGAGATGCAAACACCTGAGCTGGTGATGTCAGCCCTGGGGAGAGATGGAAACAGCAGCTCTGGCTCCTTTCACCTCTCAGCAACCTCGCACTCTTAGGCTGGAAGAGCTTGACTTGCGCATGCTCACAAACCAGGTTAAAAATCGCAACTGCAACAGTGAAGACAAGAATTCAAAAGATCAACACAAGGGAGGAAGAGGAGGAGCAGGAAGAGGAGGAGAAGAGAGAGGAATACAGAAAGACTGTGAGGAACATTAGCAGAGAAAAAAGTAAATGCTTTTTGAAGAGATTAAACTATCATAAATGTAACCTAATTTCTGAAAGAAGGAAAGTAACTAATATAGTATTAATTGCTGCTTAAATGCAAGGAGATGACAACATAAATGGCCAGCATCTGGGAAACAAGAGACCACTACAGTAGGTTTCAGTCTTCTGGCCAGTGTACAATGCAGGGTTGAAGAAAGACTCAAAGACAAAAACTAAAGAAAAAAGTGGAGAGCCAGGATGGTCAGTGTTGAGCAACCAGCAACAGCCCTGGTCAGTCCAAGCCATTGATTTTTATTGGTAATCAGATGGGGGTAAAGGGGAACTACATATGAGGACATGTAGTTGCTATGGATACGAAAGCAGGAAAGGCTTGTAAAGGAAAACACAAAGCATCCTCCAATTTGGAACAGAATAGAAAAAATACAGGGTTGTAATTAAAACATTGTCCTAGTCAAGGAGGTTCTAGTCCTGGGAATGGATTTTCAGGTGAGTTACTCTGACCTCTGTACTGTGTTATCTCGTATCAAGCCCCACAGCTTCACAGGCCATTTCTGTGGTCCCTGCTGTGGCTGTAAACAGGAAGCTCATGCCAACCTGTGTGCTAACCTGGTGCTCGTGAGGTGCTTCTGCGAGTCACATAAGCTTCAGTCAGACTCGGTCCTTAAAATGAGCCGAGTGCAGGGTTAACTCTTCGCTTACAGCCTGCCTTGGGCATAATCAGTAGGGTGATCCCCCACATTTAAGGAGATCATCCTCTGTAGAGCTCGGCCTCTAGCTGTGGGGATAAAATACCTGCCATCTGCAACTTGAAGGAGAAAGGCTGGTTTTGGGCTCATGCTTTCAAATGCTTCATTCTATGGTTCCCAAAGTCCAGTACAGAGACATTGTGGTGAAGGGCAGAGGGATTAAATTGCTTATTTCATGACAGCTGGGGAATGAGCACATAGTAAAAACACCAATGAGACCTATAACCAGCAAAGGCATGCCCTAGTGACTCATTTCCATGAATATCAGCTGCGAGTATCTGTGGCCCATTCTGATGACAATAGGGCACCTGTGATCCAGTCACCCTCCAGGATCCTCTTGAACCAGTCAAGTTGGCAACCAAGCTTGACCATCACATTCTACCCTTTGCCAGACATATCTCCACAGACATACTCAATTTCTAAATATAGAAGATCACACAATAAAAATTCCATCTGAAATGATGCAGCTGTCCTACTTAGAAACCCCAATCCTTTCCCTAAAGTTTCAACAGTTCCAACATTTCTCAAAAGTCACAGTTCAAGTTTCCTCTGTGACCTTATTTATCCTCTGAGGCAACTATGGTAAATGAAATTAATTCCACTCACAAGCTTAACCACGCATGGCTTCTCTATACAAGTGGCAGCAAACATAAATCAAATGAAGAGAAATGTAAGAGATAGGTAATAGGAAAGAGAGACACAAATGTTGCACATGGAAAAAGGACCAAGAGATGGAGGAGAGACTGGGAGAGAGGGAGATCATAAAAAGCAATAAAACGGATTATTTCATGTGCCACTCCCCACAATAAATATAATCATTATGTACTACAAACATGTACTAATAAAAATGAAAATTTTGAAAAATCATTTATATAATTCCAAAGAGCAGTGAGTGGCACAGGGCAAACATTCCAAGTACAATAGGAAGGAACAGGGCTTGGGAAAGAATAGGACTAAAACAAGAAGGAAACCCAGCAGAGCAAATGTTAATTCCTGTAGCTGTACATCTGGCAGCCAGGGCACATGGTGGTGACACGTAAGTTCCAAAGGACTTGGGCAACCCATGCCTTTGTGCTTGTTCTGTGCAGCCTACAAGGCTGCCCTTGTGGCCAGTTCTGCTTGTGGCCTCTGAGTTTCTTCAGCAGTATTTCCAGGCTCCTGGCATCTTCATATTCTTGGAGTCCTCATTGCAATTTTGGCTTCATTCCTATATCTT